TCTACTCCATGTTTAATCTTGACATCATGAAGGGTATATTGAATTGTTCACTTGAATAGCTTGCTCAATCATGAATCAAGACATGAGTCCAATATGATCATATCTTTGAGCCAATCCTAGAATTCATCATACAAATCATCCTTTTAAGATCTTGATCCATTATGGCTCAAACCATAGCTCTAAGCATGGCAACCGTTAAGATACTCCAATGAACTCCATTTTGATTACCTCGATGTAATTGTTGCTTCAAAGGAGTTGTCTTCCATTATTCTTCAATCATTTTTCAATGGGACTAACCTTCAAATGTATATCTCAATGCAAACATTAGTCCTATAGGGTTGTTATTTAATTACCAAAACCACACGTGGGGACTACATGTACTTTCAAAGAGTGTCGAACCCAACGAGGAGCAGAAGGAAATGACAAAGTTGTTTTCAGCAAGGTAATGTCTGCAAGTGCTGAAATTGTAAGTAACATAGTAGTTTGATAGCAATATAATTTGTAATGAGCAAGTAACAGTAATAATAACAAAAGTACAGCAAGGTAGCCCAATCCTTTTGAGGCAAAGGATAGGCCAAAACGATCTCTTATAATAAGCAAAGCATTCTTGAGGGTACACGGGAATTTCATCTAGTCACTTTCATCATGTTGATTCGATTCGTGTTCGCTACTTTGATAATTTGATATGTGGGTGTGGACCGGTGCTTAGGTGTTGTTCTTACTTGAACAAACCTACTACTTATGATTAACCCTCTCGCAAGCATTCACAACTACGAGAAAAGAATTAAGAAAATAATTCTAACCATAGCATTAAACTTTCGAATCCAATCAATCCCTTATGGAGTAGCGCATAAAGTAGGGTTTAAGCTTCTGTCACTCTCGCAACCCATCATAATAACTACTCCAAAATGCATTCCCTTAGGCCCAAATATGGTGAAATGTCATGTAGTCGACGTTCACATGACACCACCAAGGGAATCACAACATATATACTATCAAAATATCGAACACATATCAAATTCACATAATTACTTGCAACAAGATTTCTCCCGTGACCTCAAGAACAAAAGTAACTACTCACAAATGATAATCATGCTCAAGATCAGAGGGGTATTAAATAGCATACTGGATCTGAACATATAATCTTCCACCAAATAAACCATATAGTAATCAACTACAAGATGTAATCAACACTGCTAGTCACCCACAAATACCAATTTGAGGTTTCGGTACAAAGATTGAACACAAAAGATGAACTAGGGTTTGAGAGGAGATGGTGTTGTTTAAGATGTTGATGGAGATTGCCCTCCCGAAGATGGGAGAGTTGTTGGTGATGACGATGATTTCCCCCTCCGGGAGGGTAGTTCCCCTGACGGAATTGCTCCGTCAGAGGGCAAAAGTGCTCCTACCCAATTTCCGCCCCGAGACGGCGGAGCTCCATCCCGAAAGTCCTCTCCTTATTTTTTCTAGGTCAAAATGATTTATATACTAGAATATGGCCCCCCCTCCGGTGGCTATTTTCTCCAGTATTTCCTATTTATTCCATAAAAAATCCTCGTGAAGTTTCATCTGTTTTGGTGTTGTGCATAATAGGTGGCCTGACATAGCTTTTTCAGGTCCAGATTTCCAGCTGCCAGAATTCTCTCTCTTTGTGTGAACCTTGCATATTATAAGAGAAAAGACATTAGAATCACTCCAAAAAGCATTATTATGCATAAAAACACCATAAATAACAGTAAGTAAACATGATGCAAAATGGACGTATCACCATGTTGTATCTACACATATCGAGCATATTGTGTGTATGTTATTGAAATGTTTTGGTATGTGTGGGATCCGACACCTAGTTATTTATTCTTTGTAGCATTCCTTATAGGGAAATGCCTCCTAGTGATTCCATCCGGAACACATGGATTGATCGGCATGTATCCTTCTTTACTCCTATGTCTGTCCCTACAGGGAAATGTCACATGGTGTTTATTGGAGTTCTTTGTAGCCTCGCTACGACTCGTTTACACTCGCTGCTAACCAACATGTGCATTGTTGGGTCACGTATGCCTGTCCATGTAAGTTTGTGCCACCTTGGTTTATGACTAGTCATGTTGGCTCGGGTTCTCTGTCATATGGATGCTAGCGACACAATCATATACGTGAGACCAAAGGCGCAAACGGTCCCGGCCAGGTAAAGGCGGCAGCCGTGGGTTACCGTGCATGAGGCCGCAAAGTGATATGATGTGTCACATGCTAGATCGTTGTGACTTAGGATCGGGGTCCTGACAATGATGAAGAGGTCCTGGCTTCTGTGCTCGTCCCCTGTTGACATTTTGATGAGGTTCCTTTAATAAAAAATGTTCAGCTAGATGATATGTCTCGAAATCCACGCCAAATGAGCGCTCATACGAGTGCGTGCACCCGTATGGAACACCATCTTTTGCTCTGTGTTCGCGCAGATGCCTTCGTTAATTCCTTCTTCCTGCATTCTCCTTCCATTCCATTTCCACACGTGATTTCTTGTTTTTTAAGCCAATTTTCCGTGAAAAACACATCGAAGAGAAAATTTGTGGAATCATTTGCATTCATTAGTCATTAGTAGAAATAACAGAGCAAATATCTATTTTTAGATATATCTCGGTTTAAGCAAAGGTGAAAAGAGTGTAAAAGTATCACTCATCAATGATCTAATCCTATTTTAATAACAAATATGAAACACAGCGGGACGGAGCGGTCCAGCGTCGCTCGCCCTATCAGCCTATTAATGAAGGGAGCTCCTATACAACACTGTAAGCGTCGGCTCGATCCGCTGGCGCTCGCACGGACGCGAACTGGGCCGGCCAGCAAGTTGCTAAGAAGCAAAAAGCGAAGGAAAAATACCACGTTTATTCATGGGAAGCAAGAGTCGAACCCGTCACACCCAAGTAAATGCCCACAAGGATTAACCACTAGACCAACCTCAATCTACTAATTAGTTTAGGAAAACACAGCTCTTTAATATTTTATACAGTATAAACATTAAACATATACTAGTACTTTATACCCCCTATAAATTCTTTGAATAAAGAAAACATAATTTCAAAAGGCATTCATATAATCCATGAATTGAAAGGAAAAGTTCACAAAATGTAAAAAGTTCATGAATTCCAAAAAAGTTCATCAAATTTGAAAAAAGTTCATCGAATTTGAAAAAGTTTCATAAAATTTGAAAAAAAGTTCATTGAATTTCAAAAAAAGTTCAAAAATTTATAAAAAAGTTCATCGATTTAATAAAAAATCACAAATTTAAAAGAAAACGTTCATGCATTTTAAAGAATCATGCAATAAGGAAAACAAAAAATGATGAGGGAAAAAGAATAAACCAAGTTGAAGAAAAAAAGAAAAAGAAAAATGAACTAAGTCTACACTCGCGGGTGGATAGCCTGTTGGCTAGACCCAAGCGCTTACAACAAAAGTGTTGCGAGTTTGAACTCCCATCCCAGCACTCTTTTTGACCTTTCAAAAAACAAGAAGAACTTGAAGGAATAAAATAGAATGGGCCGACCCAGTTTGGACTCCTGGCGCCCGTTTGTTTGCAAATTACATTGTAACGGGCGCCTGCAGCGTCAAATAAGAAATGCCATTAATGAAGCGCTTTCCAAGACAAAGAAAGAAAGAAAAAGAACCAATTCGTCTACCTAATAATGGCCCAAATGATTTTGTCCTCACTCGATGGGGACCTCCTATTGGGCGCGTAACGCGTTGCGAAGAAAGCGAGTGCACACCTCCCTTGCCCCCCTTCACGCCCTTGTGGGCGGGCCCATGAGCGGGCCGGGACGCCGCCTGTTTTTCCTTTTTTTTCAATAAATTGGGGTAGCAAAAATTTATAAAACATATATATAAAAGTTGTGAATTAAAAAAAACAATCATGAATTCAAAACAAAATGTTCATTAGTTTAGAAAAATGTCTGGGAACTCAAAAATTGTTCACGAATTTGAAAAAAACTTTTCATGAATAATTTTTTTCATTATTTCAAAAAATGTTCATGATTATCAAAAAATGTTCTTCAATTTGAAAATTATTCATGAACTTCTAAGTAATGTTCATGTTTTAAAAAAAAACTTTCATGAATTTAAAAATGTTCATGATTTAATAAATATTTGGGAATTCGAAAATATGTTGACGATTTAAGAGAATGTTCATGAATTTACAAAAAAATTCACGATTTCTAGTTTTTTTGTGATTGTTAAAAACTATTCGTATTTTCAAAAAATGTTCATGTTTTAAGAGGTTGTTCAGGATTTTTTTAAAAGTTCACAATTTCTAAATAAATGTCAATGAATTTAAAAACTGTTCATTTTTTCTGAAAATGTTCACAATTTTAAAAATTCACGAATTTAAAGATTTTCGTACATTGAAAAAACAAGAACTAAAATGAAATCAGAAAAATAGAAAAGAAAATAAAAACGAAAATAAAACAGAAAAAGGAACAAAAATTAAAAGGAAAAAAGTAAAAGAAAGAAAAACAGAAAAAAAAAGGTTCAGGAATGTTTCTAGAATCTTCCGAAAACCGGTTGGGGTTGAAACCCGGAAATGGGCAAGGTCCATAGAAACACCAGCGCGCGAGGTCGCTCCGCGGCGACCCGCGCGTTAAATAGGAGCCATCCACTGGGTGGTACCCTAACTGGACCCATTGATTATGGGAACCCATGCTATCGAGCCCTTATGTCTTCGGGCCCATATTCCGACCCAACAAACCAGTCCCTTAAGATCCCGTCCCCAATCTCGCCCTGCCCTCCGCCGCCCGTGATCTGCTGCTGCTTCATCTTCGCCCGGCTTGATCGAAAGGCAACCACTATTTCTTTTCTCTGTACATACATGGTTGTTAATCGTACCTGATTTATTTTTTCAACTTTCTGATTTCTTCTATATTTATTACTCAGGATATCTGCCTCCATTGATCCATCGGCGACGAGGACAGGGTAATTCAACTTGGAGCCATGGGGTCCGGCGGTTTCTGAATCTGTTCATGGCGAACCGCCCGGGCTGCATGTATTCGCTGCGCCGCTTTGATCTGTCCCGCAACCAGTTTTTCTACTCAACACCGGAAGAAGTAGCTTTACATGGGCGAGTCCTGCCGCCGATACAAAGAGATTCTTCATCATCCCTGAGCAAGGCCAGCGGCAGGGTCAAGAAGCAGCAAGCCTCAGAGATTCGGACGATTCGGTTGCCGTCACCACTCGTCAACATGCGGCCGGCGCCATACCCGAAGCCTAAGTCCGACGAACTCAGACTGGATGTGTTCGCTCTCTCGGAACGCAACATCGTGTTCGCAGACCGCCAAAGACACGTCTTCACCTACGACACTGACTCGGAATGCTTGGTCACCATGCCCAACCTCCACGCTCCCAAGGTTGATCCATTGGCCATCTCTATTCCTCGTCCCGGAGGTGGTGAAGGCAGCCTCTACATGATCGAGAGGCTGCTATGTCCTGGCAAGAGCTTCCAGTTCGAGGCCCTTGTGTCCGGCCAGCACTACAATGAGTCCCATCCCTGCAGGACCTGGCAATGTGACGAGCTCCCGCTGCCGCCACTGGAAGAAGAAATATTCATCGACTCCTGTGCAGTGGTGGGCAACGTCATCTGCATCTCTGCATCTGGCTTTGGCAGCTACTGCTTTGACACGCTGAGCCACTCCTGGAGCCGTGTTGGTGACTGGGTGTTGCCCTTCTTTGGCACCGCGTAGTATGTTCCCGAGCTCAACCTCTGGTTTGGTGTCTCTGATCAGGACTACCACTTGCCTTGTGCGGCCGATCTCTCACCTGTCCTCACAGGGCAGCGGCCAGAGCCGGGCTTGATTTGGGCGGATAATTACCTGCCGGAGGAGTGGCATCATAGCGGCCTGTCGAATCCCGCCAAAATGGTCAGCCTGGGTTCTGGCAGGTTTTGCATCATCAGGTTTCTTGAGACTTTGTTACCCAGCCTCGATACTGAGCAGATATTTGTGGACAAACAGTATGCTGTCTTCACTGGTCTGGAGGTGGTGTTAACTGGCAAGGGCAACGGGAACGGCAAGGTCAACGCGAACGGCAACGGGAACAGCAACGGCAATAGGCTCCGTATGGTTAGGCACAAGACCAGACGCTGCAGGAATCGTGAGTCCAACCTCATCGAGTGTATGCTCTGAAGTCTCCTATGCATCATCCTTTAATTTGTATTGCCTCTTATGTGAGAATATAGTCTCTAGATATCTTTGAACAATCTTCGGATCTTCGGACTCTTATTGCCTCTGTCTCATGTTGTTGGATTGCATTTTTTACGTTCCAATTGGAACCTTCATGGTTGTCTGATTTTATTTCAGGCTTGACATCAGATTTACTGTTGAGCAACTATTTTGGACTAATGGAAATCACTTGCAAAGATTAATAACATAAAAAGGTCCCTTGCGCGGCCCATTTTGGGAGAGGGCAGCGGCCGGCGTTTGGGGATGCTCACCTGCTTAGAGCAACTCTAGCAGTCTAGCTGATACACAGAATGAGGGTATGCAAAAACAGTTTTTAGTACGAGCTGGGTCCAGAGATCCTCTGCTTTAAACTGCTACAGTCCTGTTATAGCGGATGACACGTAGGGTCGTGATCCGATGTTCATGTGAAGGTGACTGTAACAGCGGTTACAGCAGAAGATCTCAGTTCGAAACGGAGACCTTCCAGAACAGATTCTAAAAAAATTACTACTCTCCGTCCGAAAAAAGCTTGTCTCAAGCTTATATCTCAAATGGATGTATCTAGCACTAACTTGGTGCTAGATACATCCATTTGAGAGACAAGCTTTCTCCATTTAAAAGACAAGCTTTCTCGGACGAAGCTTTTTCGAAAGAAGGGAGTACAAAATAACAGTCCACCTTCCAGAATTTTTTCCTATTACATCCCAACGAGTCTTCCTCGAGACCTCGACTCGTCATCGCCCTTCTGATTCCAATCGCCCCTCTCCCCGTCTGCCCCTACCCTCCTTGGAGAAGCTCCGGTCGCTACCGGCCAGGCTGCCCTCTTCTGCCGGTCCTCAGCTTGGGGAGGTGAATGCTGGTTGATGGCCCTGGAGGTGTTCCGGTGCCCCCTTGGGCGCTCGTCGTACGAGCTCAAAATTCTTCATGACTTGTTCGGAAATTGGAAGGAATCAGAGCGCCTCCCAGGAAAGCGGTCGAGTAACCGAGACGTGTCTGGTGGCGACAAGGCGTACCGCGAGTTGAAAATAAGCTCCCGCCAGCTGCATAGTAATTTTGTTTATAGGTCTCACTATATCTCATATAGATGTGAGATAATACCTCACATTAACATGATGTTTAGGAGGTATGGTTGGGTGGTATTTTTTGGTCCGAGCAGTCTACATGATGTTTAGGAGGAAAGTGGAGGGTCCGGTTGTAGATGCTCTTACGCTGTGTTTGGATGTCTCCAGTGCGGGACTTGTATTGGATTTCGTATTGGTAAGTTTCATTTCACCTATTTGGCTGGACACTGAATTGGTGGTCGGTAATGAAACTAAATTTCAGGCTGAAATCACTCCCACGCAAACACCCTGCCCGCAATACGGAGGCCTCTGGCTCGAATTGCGCTGAAATCGCCCCATCCCGCAAAACATATCGGTTCACTTTTTTTCCTCACGAACAAAAAGGAGAGAAGGCAGGAAGGGAGGCAGCGAGCACGAAGCTGGGCGGCGGCTGCGAAGCTCGGCGGCGTCCAGGTAGGTTCCTTCTCTGCCCCCCTCCTCTTGCAGCATCTTCCGACACCGCTGCATCTCCCTCGTCCCCTCCACTGACGCACTGTGCACCGCCTCCAGCTCGGCGGCCATGGTTGTGTCCGCCACATGCCCGTCCCCTCCATCGCCTCCAGCACGGCGGCCATGGTGTGTCCGTCGCCGGCCAGTCCCATCCACCACCAGTGCACTGCACCGCCTCCGGTGTTGAAGCACGATGCGACCGCGGGCCACCTGCCCTCTCACTTCCCCGATCTGCCTGGAGCTGGAGTAGATGACAAACGACTGTCGCTGCTGAAGCTTCCTGTCCGTGCTTGCCTACTCTTCGGTTTCTATATGTGTGTGGATGTGTGCAAATTCATTATGGAGCCCTCCAATACGGACATCCAAACGCAGCGTTAGATGGGTTTGGTTGGATTTAACCCTTTTCATCTCTTGTTTGATTGCAGTCGTGTGGTCTAGCAAATCAAAACAATTGCATGATCAACATGTTGTAACATAGAGCAAAAGAACCCCATGCACCACAAAATAAGGGCAAATGAAGCAAAACTTAAGTGCTCGTCGAGTCCTATGCTACTTGATGCCCAGTTTTTTATTTGTGTATATGCACCGTAAAACTTGTTGATGGATTCGTAAATGGCGTACCATCGATAATTGAGAGAGATCTCGTTCCCGATCAAGAATCATTTTTGTTTTATACGATGGGTAGAGCTTGTTCTCATGAAAGAAGAGAGAAGTGCATATTTCAACCCTCAACTTTTGCCCTAGTCTAATTTACAACCCCGAACTCCAATACCATCTAAATTACAACCCCCAACTCTTAAAACCGGCCAGGATTCAACCCTCCCCTCTCTGTTGACCGGTTTTGACCAGTCAACAGGTCCAGTCAGCATGCCACATCAGCAAAAAATGCAAAATTTCCAAGGAAACAACCTGTAAAATCGAAGAAATCCAGGAAAAGAAATAAGAAATCCAATTTCTGAAAAACACGAAAAATAAAAAAAAACGAATTTCCAAAAAAAATCCAGAAAAACCCAAAAACTCAAATTCCAGAAAAAAAATCATTTTTTATTTTCCCTAGCTTTTTTCGCGAATAATTTTTTCGAAATTTTGCCTTTTTATATTTTTCCCTGATCTTATAGATTTTTATTTACTTTTTCTTGAAATTTTGAAAAAAAAAATCTGACGTGGCATGCTGATTGGACCCGTTGACTAGTCAAAACTGGTCACCCCAGGTCAAAACCGGTCAACAGGGAGGGGAGGGTTGAATCCTGACCGGTTTTGAGACTTGGGGTTGTAATTTAGACGGTACTAAAGTTCAGGGTTGTAAATTAGACTAGGGTAAGAGTTCAGGGTTGAAATATGCACTTCTCTCATGAAAGAACACATGCACCCTTCTCCAAAATGGCGCCCCTCCCCCTTTGCTTTGCACTGACAAATGGGTCAATGCTTGTGCCCAACCAAGCCACGCACAACAATTCGTCCTCTTTCATCGAGTAGGCGGCTCCTTTCCTTTTCTTCGTTTGCACATCGAGCACTGGCGAGTATTGATATTCCACTCTTTAGAACTCCATCGTCGTTGATGATATTCATCATCGCATGTTCGGTCGCCATCGAGCTTGGGTGGGGTGGGGGGTCCTCCTGAACAGTGTCCAAGCACCAGTGAACGAGGGCTTCTCCAACAGTATCCATGACTGGACGGGCTACGATGACTCAATGAAGCTTGTAATAACTAGTGAGGTCGTCGGTGAATGGTTGAGGCCCGCTAAGACGTAGTAGAATAGTAGGGCAGTGCATACTTGCTGGGCTAGGGCAACACGTATCCAAGTACCACCGATACGACGATGTGGCATGGAGGATGAGCTCATGCTCGGGCCGTCACACCTTCTCCCTCTTGCGGCTCTGTATGTTTGACGAAGACTGTGTTCGACGTGGAGTTGGCGTACGCGCACAGCGACGATGACGGGACCTCGAAGATGTTGATGGTTCATTGGGACAGAGATATCCATTACAACGGCGAGCGTCAGGGACGAAGTCGCAGTGAGGGCGGCGACGTTCGAGCTGGGTTTGGCGGCGACGAGAGGGGGAAGGGGGTCAAGCACAGGAAGATGGTGGGTGAGTGTGAAAACTTTGTGGCCTGGAGTTTGGATTAGGGTGTTCGGAGTCCGACGTAGCAAATGTCTGAATAAACTTATTCCGCCCCTCGGTTTGGAGCCGACTTGAGAGATTTTGGTTCGGATACGTCCGACTAAAGTTAAGGGTCCTGCATTACATGCTAAAAGTGTTTGGACCGTCTCATCTAAATTTTCGAGGCTATAATAGGTATTTTTTGGTTTTTGGAATAATAAATCTGAAAACAATATGATAAAAGATAGATCTAGGGTCGTGTATTTCACTAGTGTCTTCTCTCGGGAAAATAGCTTACGGTGGGTAAACAAATTACTGTTGGGTAATTGATAGAAGAATAAATAATTATGATGATATCCAAGGCAATGATCATGAATATAGGCATCATGTTCAAGATTAGTAGACCGACTCCTGTCTGCATCTACTACTATTACTCCACACATCGATCGCTATCCAGCATGCGTTAGTGTATTAAGTTCATGGAAAAACAGAGCAATGCAATAAGAATGATGACATGATGTAGACACGATCTATTCATGTAGGAATAGACCCCATCTTTTTATCCTTAATAGCAACTATCAATACGTGCCTCGCTACCCCTTCTGTCACTAGGTGAGGACACCGCAATATCGAACCCATCACAAAGCACCTCTTCCCATTGCAAGAAAGATCAATGTAGTTGGCCAAACCAAACCAAAGTTTTGAAGAAGAAATACGAGGCTATAAATAATCATGCATATAAGAGATCAAAGAAGACTCAAATAATATTCATGGATACAGATCTGATCATAAACTCGAACTTCATCGGATCCCAACAAACACACCGCAAAAAGTCATTACATCAAATAGATCTCCACGAACAACGAGGAG